CAATATCAACAGTGAAAACTTATATATATTTTTCCTAAGTATATTGATCTTCTGCTTTATCAGTTCTAATTAATTACCTTACCTACGGTGCTTCATTCATTTTTAAAATAATTCAATAGGCAATCATTGCGTCATTGAACATATTTATGTGTGTATGAAGGTGTGTGTATGCTTCAGTTTGGCTTTAATCAAAGAACAGGGAGCAGAGTGTTGCCTGGAGAGCAATGAGGCATGACAATGCACACCTAGTAAGCTGCTTATCACACTTTAATTTCACCTACACTGAGATCTGCAGAGGCCAGCATGACCAAAAAAAATGTGTGTGTGTTTGTGTGTACATATGTGTGTGTGTGTGTCTGTGTGTGTGTGTGTGTGAACACGTGTCTGAAGTAGGACAAAGATGAAGAGACTGATAAAGGCAGAGAGAAACAAGTGCAGATTAAATGGGGAGAGAAACTGACGACAAAAACAAAGTAAAAGATAAGGGGAAAGATAAGTGAGGGAATACAGCAGCAGTAGAACTGGGAGAGATAGAAGGATGGAGAGAGTGGAGGAACATATGAGGTTAAAATCTAAACAGGCCAGGGGGAAAGTGCAGCCTGATGGAAAAAGAGACAGGGATGGATGGACTGGGGGATTAGGATGAAGCAAGGATAGTTTCATATAAATGATTACTGTAAATAAATTCTGACTGTGCATGAGAGTGGGTGTGCAAGATGTTGACATGTGAGCATGCATGCTATTTTTTTCTGTACTGTTTGCGTATTAGTGTCTCTCGGGTGAGGAAAGCTATGAAATCTACTGGGAGGAAATTACAAAGAAATATCAGCAAAGTTGTAAATAGGCCTAGTCTTTTTTTTAATTGTTAGTCATGAAGTATAAAATGTAACTGTTGCTTTTTACTTCTACATATATTTTATACTTACTTAATACTTCTATTTATGTATTTGTTAAATTACCTATCCTATATTCAAACATGAGATGTGAGCAAAAATAATATATAAGTGGCTAATGTGACCATAAATATTTAGATCACTTCAAGCACAGTACAATGTGCACAGTCAGACATTTGAAACTCATGTCTCAAGTTACAGATAAATTATTTAAAAGCCAAATAATGCTATAATGTTTCATCCAAGACAAATAATAATTACACATTCATGAGAGAAAAATTTTTTAAAAAAACATTGTGTGTCCAACATTACTTCACCAGCCCAACATCACCAGTCTGTCAAATGACTGCGCTACATAGGGATACATGAGAAATATCAAGTCCTTGTAATGGCTCCCCCAGAGGGAAATCAAAGGAAAGCTTTACAGCTCTTAGACTTGCCCCCCCCGAATTTGTTGACCAGAGGCGAAGCCTTGACCTCTGACCTTGGACACACGTTGTCAGCCAAGCCCCACCATCTCTGTGCTAACAAGAAACACACTACAAGCTAAACTATAAAACCTCTAGACTCTTCAACAGCATATAACCATGTGTGTTTAATGAAACTCAACATGGCACTGTGAGGTATCTTATATATCATGTTTGTAGAGATGATAATGATTAGAATTAAAAAGCAATAAGATAATTAAAATGTACTGCTTTTTATCCTGTTTATTTGCATATGTGTCCTGTCATCTTTACTCATTAAGCGGTACTAGATATGCATTTAATTAATGAGGTAAAACCAAAAATTAAATTAGAGCAGATTTTTACCTCTCTGCAATTTTTTTTCTCATCATCTCAAACACGAGCTCTTTCGTGTGGATGTATCCCAGGGGAAATATCTGCACCACATCAAATACACCAGAAAAATACATGTGTTACAGTGGGACTTACTAGTGGTTCCACTGTTAAATGTCTGCCACTGTGACTAATGTAATGCATCCCTCTCTTTCTGTCTTTCTCACCCCATCTTCATCTCGTGCTTCCTTTGTGCTTCTCTTTCCATCTCTGTCCAAATTAAACACAAGGCACAGGACACTCTGTTAAGGCCATCTGTTCATCTCTCTCTCTCTCTCTGTCCTTTTCCTTATTCTCCAATCTGACAGTCTACTGCCCCTGCTAAAGCTGGTGAGGGACATTTGAGGTATAGTTTCTCTGCATCTCTCTGTGTATTTATCCACTTCCTTTCAATCAACAATGTTAAATCCCATCTGTGGGTGGCAGTGACTCTATAGCATTGAACTTGACACTAAACATTTATTGCTTGGCCACAGGTGTAAGAGAAACACAAGTGAATGAATGTGTGATGCTACAGTTCTATCAAAGTTGAATGAGGTGCCTAACTTTCCAACAATGCCTGCTATTAAGAACAATCCCAAGTTTCAAGTCCCACTCAACCTACCATGTAAGCATGCACACACACACACACACACACACACACACACGCATCTCAGCCCCTTTGCCTCACTGTGAGCCCAGGATCTGACTGTGAAAATTAGTTTGTGAGAAACTAATCATGCAGCTTAACAAGTGGAGCCTGAGAAGAAGGGGAGAGGGGGAGGAGAGGGAGGAGATGGGGGTGTGAAATGGTCAAAAGGGTCAACTAATCATGAGGAGGGGAAATGAGAC